CAACGATATTTTTCTCGCTTTGGAATTATTTTCTAAATGAATGCCAATTGCATTTCACAAGATACATGCATGAGCTATTTTATAGTCGAAATTATCAATCCTCTCAGAAAACTGAAGGAGAAGTTTTTATATTTAAGGATATCAGTGAGGCTGAACAAATATTTCTTTCCTGTCACATCTTAGCATAGATATCCATAGAACTTTTCTTACAAACACGAAATTATTCTTTAAAATTACAAGGGACAGATTCTAGAACATAGGCATTCCTACCGGCGTCCAACAATCATTATATTTCTTGACCTAAAGGCGGCATTCGATTCTGTCGACCGAGAGGTTCTCTGGCGATGTTTGGCTGTAAAGCGAATGCCGAGAAAATACATTGCACTGATTAAGGCACTCTACTCGAACTCATGCCATCAGCCAGGTGAGGGCTTACGGCGAGTTGTCATCTGAAGTGGTGACGACTAGTGGCATCCGTCAAGGATGCCCATTATCCCCGTTTCTATTCAACTTCGTCATAGATGTACTAATGGACTTAACCCTAACTCACTTCAGCGACTCAGGGATTGACTTGCTACCAAGGAATAATCTCGTTGACTTAGAATATGCAGACGATATAGTCCTTCTAGGCGAGGACTCTGACAAAATCCAGCAGGGTCTTCTGAACACACCTTGAGCTGCAATCTAAGAATGTTTGGCATGCGATTCGCCCCTGTAAAATGTACGATGATGTTACACGATTGGACTACACCGACTCCTAGATTGGAAGTAGGAAGTAAAGTGGTAGAGCACGTTGACCGCTTCACTTATATGGGAAGTTGCATCAGCCAATGCCGGTGGGTTGATCACTGACGAAATGTCAGCACGGATACAGGAGGCTCGTTTCGCATATGCCAATTTTCGCCTTATCTGGCGTAGACGTGAGATCCGACTATCGACCAAAGGACGTGTGCACTGCTCAGCAGTCCTCTCCGTCCTCCTTTATGGCTGGCTATGAGACCTGGCCATTGAGAGTGGAAGACATGAAAAGACTAGCTGTCTTTGATCATAGGTGTCTGCGTTCTATCTCCCGTGTGAAGTGGTATAATAAGGTGAGCAATATTGAGCTAGGCGTCCAGTGCTAGGTAAGGAGGGGAAATCAATCGACGAGACTGTGAAATTACATCGACTGAGATGGTTAGGACATGTGTTACGTATGCATGCCTAGTCATCGCCTTCCTCGACAATGGGCAATGTTAGCTGACATAGGGTGGGTCAAACTACAAAAGAGCCAGCGGCGGTCGAACCAAAACATGCCACCAGTCAATGAAATCTACAACAGTTAGTCTAAGACAGCCACGTAGGAAGGTGTAGACTTCCTGACTGACTGGTTGGGGTCCTCGGGACGGTAAAAACCAATGGTTGGAAACAATTGGTGACATGGCTAGCTCAAAGTTGTTCTCAATGGCTGACCGGTGCAGATGCATCCACTCCTTGTGACTTATGATTTCCAATGAAACTGTTTTGTTCTTCGTTATTACTATTCCTTTGTCTCACACCTCTGTTTACTGTCTGTATTATGCATTTCTCCTACTTTCTTCTCTTGGTTTGTGTGCTACAAGGAGTGGAGTGTGGCGACTTGAACTTCCGCACATATGTGCCAAGTTCTATGTCGAAAGCAGACAGACAGATAGACAAGGGACATTTGCGAGTGTTTTTATCTGAGTCTTCTTTATTTCATTTCTGGAAGAATACCGAGTTGTATTACGATAGCAGATTCAGTTATCATATAAATCTGAAGATGAGTGGCCATAAGGATGTGTTGGCCGACGATACCCAGACATAATGATTGTTACTATACACCGATGGATTCAGAAACATACACAAGAGACATCGAATTGTTAAATGGTCGAGTGACCAGAGTTTCAAAATACTGGAAACACGCAATGAGCCATGGAGAAAATAAAAGACGAATGACATAAGAAAAAGTTCTTTGTCCAGGATGTCATCTTCAAAGGCTATGCAATCATATTTTTACTTGCCAAAATGCATACTATTGTTACTATTATTGTTCTACTGGGTTCCAGGTGGAATATATAGGGATTGAACAACACGTCCCCACATTGTTCCATTTTCTGCTGTCCTCTTTGCCTGGGCCCATGGTTGCCCATAATCTCTTGTCTCCTCCGTGTGACCCTTGGACGATCCACCCATCGTTTCCCACTCGAGTCCCAATAGAGCGATGGCCTGGAGAGCGATGTCATTCTACGGTCTCCTTAGCGTACAATACATATACTAGTCTGTTATTGAGTAAATGGGATTGTTTCACCTTTATCACTATTAGGTGTTCATTTTGTTCCAATTACTGAGTTTTCACCTTCTCACCTCCTTCATAATTTAAGAACAAAATATTCGGCGAAGAGACTCTTTTCAAAGAATCTGTTAGCAAGCCTTACAATCATATATATATATAGTTTTTTAAAAGAAATTATATCCACCGAGGAAGTTGAATCATGGGTGTGAATACATGAAATGATAATGGTAGAATGAAAGGTATTTAAAATGTTTGGGATTATAATCTGAAACAAATACAATCCCTACAAGCAGATTCTTGAAAATTAATCTGATGCTCACTAGTGACTGGCAATGGGACGAAGTTGCCTGTAGTTCTGGTGAGAAGTCGTGACCAATGTTGGTCCATCCAGTCAGGAGTGAGGATGGAGTTGCCGCCAAAGACATTGGCAGGTGGTCGCACTGAAATGAAGAATTGATAGAAGAAGTTGGAATTCATATGCCATTAAATCGGGTCCCAGTGGCTTAGTGGTCTACGAACTGGCCTTGAAACAAGAAGGTGCTAGGTTCGAACCCTGGTGGTGGGTGCGTACTGTTGGTGAAACAGTTTAGTTCAGAATCCTTCTCAATGGTGAGTTGGAGAGGCGGGTGACAGTTGTTTAATGCAAATTCGGTATCATCAAGAATTACTTTCTTATCGCAGATAAGGGAAGTGTCGTCTACTTATCTTCTACATAGTGTCAAAGTGACCGACGGTTTGACTAAGTTGGCAATTTTTAAGCTTTGTCTCAAAACAATCACCTAGCAGTTAACCCAGTGGCAGTTCCATAGCAACGCCATCTCTCTCTGTCTAAAAATTGCATTATTCAAGGTGAACTGAGAGTTCAACGTGCATCTCAATAAGAGTTATTTAAGGTAGGCTGCCGGCAACTATATGTTCAAACTATGTACATCAATATAATCCCTCACACTTGTCATGTGGATGCTCTCAAACTCCTTACTTCTAATCGGATGACAGTCTTCAACTTACCAAAAATTTTAAATCGCTACTTCCAGTGAGCAGTTGACTATTAGTTAGTAATCTTTCTATCTCTAGAGAGCACTTCTGAGTATTATTATTATTGTTTCCTTTAATTCCTAGAGGAACATCAGGCTTCATCTTTGCATCTTCATTGCGTTCGGTTCTCTGGTATAGTCTTCACCTGGCTCCAAGTCTGCCAACACACACGTTTTCATCTCCTCTTCACATGACCTCCTCCAAGTCACCCTCACCCTTGCACTGACGACCAACTCGCCGCCGCTTCCCTTTCGGCCGGGTTCCACTCGACCAATGGCTTGTCTAGTGATGTCACTCACTTGATGGCTTGTTTCCTCAGAGTATGGCCAGCCAATCCATCCATCTCCATTTCTTCCTGCCTATTTGTTTCACAATCGGTTGGTTCCTGCTGTGTTGGTTGGTTCGCTCATTGCCAGAGATCCCTCTCTGTTGCTGATCTTTTCTGGCCGGCCGGCCATCTGATCTTGAGTAGTATTGAGCGAAGACAACTGGCTGTTAATGAAGGTCTGTAGTTTGTTTGAGATGGTCTTTATGACGCACAGTGCAAGTCTCTGATCCGTATAGTAAGAGGCACTGACTGACTTGACATTGGAGTTGAAAATCCGGATCTTATTATCATTTTGATGCTGAGTGCAGACTGTTGACCTCCACACAGACTTGAGAGTAGTGAAAGCGTGTCTTGCTTTTCCGACCGATTCTTGCTTTGATATCCTCGTCAGTGGTGTCTGCCTGTAGTTTAAACGATGCTTCCCAGATAGGTAGGTAGTTGAAGGAGGTTGTTTCCTTCAGGTTCCTTCCATTTATGCTGATTGTTGTCTGTTGTTGTTGGTGGTGGTGGTGTTGCCCAGGAATCTTCATCACCTCTGTCTCCACCTTCTCTATGTTCACCTGAAGTCCTATCTTCTCTGGATGCTTCTTCTGCCAACTTGTTGCTTTTCGCTTGCATATCTTCCGGTTTGTGGGAAATCAGACATATATCATCGATGAAGTGTAGATCCTCCAAGTCTCTTTTTGTGTGAGTCCATTTTATGCCTGTTTCCGCATTACCCGCCACTGTCTGTCGCATTATCCAATCTACTACAAACAGGAAAATCACTGGCGATATTAGGCAGCCAAATTGTCTTACTCCTGTCCTCACTTCGAAGGATTCCGTAAGTTTCCCGTTGTGGATTACTTGGCATGCAGCATTGTCGTACAACTGTTGGATGAGATGTATAATTGTCGGTGGCACACCGTAGTAGCGAAGTGGTTGCCAAATCGCCTCTCGATCGACGCTGTCGAAGGCCTTTCCAAAGTCGATGAAGTTGAGACAGAGAGATGACTGCCATTCCAAGCTTTGTTCAATGATGATCCGTAATGTGGCGATCTGATCAATGCATGACTTGTTTCTCCTAAATCCAGCCTGTTCCGGTCGAAGTTTTTCATCCAGGGCTTCTTAGTAATTACCCAATTAAATGAACAACCTGATGTCCCAAGTAATCTCACAACAAATGAAAAATTTCAAATGATTCTCAATGTAGTCCGAGAAACGATTTGAGAATACCTAGTAGTAAAGTCTATATATATATATATATATATATATATATATATATATATGGACTGTGAAACATTTTTCTCGGCATATAAGTAAACATGCACAAACATATTTTCTGATGGATATTCACAGGTAGTTATGGTTTTCGGTGGATGGTGTGATGGTGAAGGACCAAGAGCTGCTGCACAAGTATACAACCCGAAAGCAAACACATGGACATTATGGACAGAAGCTGGTCAACAAGCTCAACCATTAGCTAATGAATGGCTTAATTTACTGCAAGGTTCCATGACAACGACGCCGCCGATGGTAGCGTCCACAATGACAACAGCACCGATGACAACAACCTCAGCGACAATAGCTGCTGATACATCAGAAATCAATCGTCTACAGAACGCTGTGAATACTGTAAATACAATTAATCATATACGTAGTACACTGCCATCAGATGGAATGATGACTTCTGAAGAACAGAAGGAAAATCTACTCCTCTTACCATTTAACTCAATAATAACAGAGAATTCTGGTAGTCTGATTGGTGAAATTCCAAGACGTGTTTATGCTGGTTGTGTACTGATTGATAAAAGAGTTTATTTAGTTGGTGGTTTCGATGGAAGCAGTGCATTGAAATCTACTCTATGCTATGATTTTGAAATAGACTCTGGTTGGTGAGTTATGTTATTCTGTTCTGTTCTGTTTTTATATTTTCCGTTAGATCAAGTGTCTCTGTCTTTTACACATGCTAAAATAGTTTTATTTTCAGTCATAAAGGTGTAACAACAGAAGGCAAGGGTCAGGCAACAGAACGTTTATTAAGGAAAATCAACACATATTTATAGATTTTAATGTACATCATTGTAGATTATTGTTAGTAGAAAATACAGTCTTTTGATTGGTTGTTTCTCACAGAAGGTTAACCTTGCATCTCTTTATGGCTGTGTCAGATCATCCATATGCTACCTGTAGCCGCCTACGCAAAGCCTTTGTTCTCATTTTCTCACCACCAATATTGGGGACATAGACATTGACGTCAATTACTGTCTACGAACTTTGGCTAGCAGCCATCTCTTACCACAAAGGCATAGGGATATAGACATTTGTAAAAAATTATATTTGTAAAGTCTCAGCGAGATTGAAATGAGTAATTCCAACGTTTCCTGCGTTCGGCAATCTGGTCCGAACTTCTTCAGGGAAATTAATCGAAATTAACATAACAGAGGTTTATAAATAAAAAGGAACATCACTTGTTTTTAAAAACTTTGTCGAATAAAGCAGCTCAATCTTCAGAAAGAAGAAGACAAAGCAATAAGTCCGACAGGGTGCTTCTACTAAACTCCAATCCTAAACACCATAATTTTGAAAATACGTCTAATCATAAAATTCTAGATATACTAACAGTGTGAACAGACATGAAGGCGTGATGTTAGCTGATGCATAGGAAATCCTTATTAATAAATAAAAAATGGATATGTATCACTAATTAATAATCTTACTTGCTCAAAATTCTCGACTGTCCATATCTTCTTATGGAGACGTTAAGAAATGTTTTACAACTGTTTACCCCCCCACACACACACATATACACATACACACTCTGTTTAAAGTGTTTAACAAAGGTAGACCAATATTTGTAAGTCCGAGGTCAAATTTTGATCACAGCTCATAAAATTTTGTTTATTATACTTGTTGAATGACTCATGATTGGACAAAGTTTTTAAAAACAAGTGATGTTCCTTTTATATATAAACCTCTGTTATGTTAATTTCGACTAATTTCCCTGAAGAAGTTCGGACCAGATTGCCGAACGCAGGAAACGTTGGAATTACTCATTTCAATCTCGCTGAGACTTTACAAATATAATTTCTTACAAATGTCTACTTCTCACTCGGCGCCCAAATATTTTACAACTATTCTGTCAAATCTTGACGACAGTTCATTTGAAGCATAAGGATATATATTACTGATTGGTTGATATGACTAGTTGACCTACCACTCACATCAACCAATGGGGATTGCTAACCAGCCAAAGTGATCCAAATACCACAAGACGGTAGTTTTGCTCGTCAGTAGAGTACACGTCTTGACTCAGCCCAGAGAACTGAATCAGTAGGAACCACCAGAATTCCAGCTAACTAGCAGCTTGGCGGAACTTCAAACTGAGATTTTGATTTGTGTACAATTTTCAAGTATTGGTTTTGTAGGGATTTTGTTTGAGTGGATGGAGGATTTCATCATGAGCTGACATCAGTCAGAGAACCATTGGAAAACCTGAAGGGAGTACTGGACAGCTGTTTCGTCCTAGTTTGGGACTCTTCATCAGTACGCTACAGGATGATCCTGCATGCCGGTCTCGTCTCGCAAGAGGCAGGGATGGGTGTATTTGGTTCTCCTGAAAACCAATACCCAGTCAATGGGTGTATCACTGTGTGAATTTGGGTGCGTACTGCTGAAGAGCCCCAAACTAGGAGGAAACAGCTGTCCAGTACTCCCTTCAGGTTTTACAGTGGTTCTCTAACTGGTGTCAGCTCATTGTGTACAATCGTCTTAAACCGCTTACAGTCAGAAACTTTGAAACGTAAACGAATAACTTCCTCAAATAACGTTAAACAGAAATTCCAAACTTCTACAGCCAATACTCTACACTTCACCTAGTGTCAGAACCTATGTAACTTTAATAGGGACTCTGGAAAGGAAAACACATCCAGTTACTTTTTTATTCCCTATAAGTTCCCAGTGGAATATAGGGCTTCATGCTGGAAGCATGAAGTTCCGATGGCAGTGGAATTCATTTTTGCGGGGTGGGGTTGCTAGTCTCATGCCCAACCTCCCTTCTTTACCAGTCTTATTACTGGTTTAATGAGGTAAAGTAGTGCGTCGGTCGGGGATCGAACCCCGGACCACATAAGTGGTTAAAGAGCATTCTACCTGTGTGCCACAAACGCACCATCCAATTACTTACAATCTCTGAATGTTATTCTTTGGATAAAAAACTATCGGTTACTTCAAAATCAAAGCTGTTAAAGACATAAAAGCAAGTGTTGAGTGTTAGGCAGTCAATTTGACACATTAACAAAACATTTCAACACAGACACTCACAATTTTCATTTCTTTGGAATATGTAGACTATACAGTAAATCACTCCTCGGATTTCGTGGATCCCTTAGGTAGGACTCATACAAAAATCAGAATGAAGGACTTTACAGCCAGGTGAAGACAAGAATAACAACACGATAAATGGAACACAGTGTGAGGTGTTTTCAAACCATGCGGATGAATTCATAGGTAAAAAGGAATTGGTTTGAAATATCTCATGAAAAACTGGTAGATATTTGTCCAATATATGTTAAAAACTGACAACCTGCATTATTTATTTTAGTGAATATATATTACAAGTCTGGTCAGTGGACATCGCGTTTGTCATATCTAGAAGTGAAAGTTACTAGTTATCGTTATATGACATTTTACCAAGGTTTAAAAACAGTAATCTCAGCAGATGAGAGAAAACACCAATGTTGCGCTGGTCATTTATGGTAGACAAGACTGATTTAGTTTAAAAAGGCATTACATTCATGAGAAGGATGTTAAATGGTATATCCTTCTTAACAATTTCGCAGATTATTAGTATTAATGTTCCCATGGATTCTTAGTGGAACATAGGGCTTCAACTACACGTCTCCACTTCCTTCTGTCTTCTGCTGTACTTTTCACTTGCATCCATGTTAGTCCATACTGTTTCAACTCCTCTTCACACCATCTCCTCCAAGTCACACTTGCACCGACGAACCACTCGCCGCTTCCCTTTCGGGTTCCACTCGAGCTATGGCCTGACAAGCGATGTCACCCACCTAGCGGACTCCTCAGCGAGTGTCCAATCCATCCATCTTCACTTTCTCCTGCATATTTGTTGAGCGATTGGTTCTTGTTTTATTTCTTCCCATAGCTTCTTGTTGGTTCTTGTTCTTTCCGGCCATCTCATTGATCTTCAGTATAGAGCCAACGAAGACAGCTGTTGTTGATAAAGGTCTGCAACAGGCTGTTGGAAATATTCTTTGTGACCCGCCGCCAACTTTCTGATCCATCCGTATAGAAGAACTGACTGACTGACTGACTTGACGTTTGTATTGAAAATCCGAATCATTTTGTTGTTGATGCAGGCTGAGTTGAGTGACAGCGGAAGATTTCCAGATTGGTTGGTGTCAAGTTGATGAATGTGTTCTCGCCTTCGCGATTCTCGATTTGACATTGTCGCCCGTTCCTCGTGTAGTTGAGACAATGCTCCCTCCCTAGATAAGTGAATGGAGTAACCTCCTTCAAACAATGTTGCAGAGGTAATTCTGAATTTCTTTTAGGCGTATCGGTATTCATCCTCATTCCTGTCCTTTTGTGCAAGGATTTACTGGACTGAAGTAAGGGTTAACAATGAATGTTTGACTATGGGTCAGTGAAATCATTCATGTATAAGTATTAAACCGCGTTCCTTATTTTATAATACTTCAATAAAGCTATCACTATGTTTTTTTCTACTACTACTAATGCGAATTCCGATTGGTCGCTTCCAATTCAATCTTGAGTTGGTTCGGATCGAATTTTTATCACAATAGAATTTTTCGAAAAGTGTTGATTGGCTTACTGATAATCATCTAGGCATAATTCGTGTTAAAGAGGTAGAGTGAAAAAGCCCAAGTGCTTTTATTAATACTTATAGATTATTGGGTATATATATATATATATATATATATATATATATATATATATATGTTACATACGGCTCACTTCAAGTTGTGGAGGCCGAGTTGCAACGACTAGAAGAAGCAGGAGTTATTACTCCAGTAGCATATTCATCGTGGGCAGCCCCCATAGTGGTTATTAAGAAAGCGAATGGTTCCATCCGCATTTGTGCTGATTTCTCAACAGGTCTGAATGCCACCTTAGAAGAGCACCATTATCCATTGCCAGTACCAGACGACTTGTTTAGCACTCTAAACGGCGGAAAACTTTCCGCGAAGATTGACTTAGCTGATGCATACTTGCAGCTCGAAGTGTCGGAGGAGTGTCGCGAGCTATTAACAAAAAATACCCATCGAGGGTTATAGCAGTATAACAGGTTGCCTTTTGGTATCAAGACGGCTCCTGTAATATTTAAGCAATTGATGGACACGATGTTAGCAGGAGTTGCTACTTATTTGGACGATATTCTTATAGTCACAGCTACTCTAGAGGAGTTAAGACAGTGAGTGAGGCTGGTGCTTCGGAAGCTCGACGACAGTGGACTACCGCTAAGAGCAGAAAAATGTCAGTTCTTCATCACTTCTGTAAAGTACTCGGGTTTTATCTTCGATGAAAGTGGACGACGGCCTGACCCAGAGAACATCTGGGCAATCAAGCAGATGCCTGCTCCGAAAGATGTGTCTATTCTCCGCTCTTTCTTGGGAATGATTAGCTACTATTCAGCTTTCTTGCCATCATTATCCAACATCCGCGAACCACTCAACCGCCTGTTACAAAAAGATCATCCATGGGTATGGCCCACAGAGTGTGATGAAGCTTATATACATGAGTGAAAATTGATTAGACATTATGCACTGGCCTCTAGTCAGTAACTAGTGTAATGTGTCTAGTCCTGCCTTTGGTGCAGACTGAATTCTATCAGTCAGGTATTTGCAATGTGGCCT